AAAATAATTATTTTGTTTATTTCTTATTTTTGTGTAATTTTCATTCTTATAAAAGTTTTTATTTGATTAGAATTCAAAAGATTGCGTCATTTATTTAAATTCTGACAAGTATAGTCAAAAAAAATGTTTCTTTTGAGTCTTAATTCTTCTTTTTCATCTAAATTTTCTTCACGTTTTACAACTTTTAGGAAAAATCTTAAAGAAACAAAAAGAGACATTTTATCACATATCAGCAGATTACATCAGTTACTTGAAATTTAAATCCTGAAAAACTGTCTGAATTTGTCGATACTTTATAAAGACTGCGGTTAAAACTAAACAAAATGACTTATAATATGACTTCATTTACTTTAAAAAGGTGTACTAGTTCTACCAGACTGCATTCCACAAGTGGATAAGAAGAGTGAGATACCGATGTCGCTCTGTTTGTTATCTACACATGTAGTTTATACGGTATTAAGGCTCTGTTGTGAGTTAGTTTTGGAGATTTTCTGCCCTCTAGTGGTCAGAAATGAATCGGTGTAGTTGTAGATAAAGACAAGTCTTTATAAGGTAAACTGATGAGACTCATTTTCTGGAGATTCATGTATATTTTCGAAACAAGAAAAATGTTTCTCATGGTTCATCTGCCCCTGAAATAATTTATCCGCCAGTTTTTTATTATATTTCACATGTAAATTACATATTTTCTTGATGTTTGAAGTGAAAAGAAGTAATTGCAACCCCTGCAGCAAACTTTTTTCTCTCATGGCAACAAAACATCACATGTACATTCCTTCTTTTAGGTTTTAGTTTCACAATATAATTAGTAAAATCTAGGTTCAGTTCATTGTATGTTAGAAAAGACTGTTTCACACGGCACCACAGGATCAGTTGAGAGAAAACTTTACCTCCAGTCTGTTGCGGTCGGCTGTGTTCTCCGTCAGCATGGCCTCCGCTGTGAGGTGATGGTACTTCTCTGACAGAGGCAGAGCGATGCCGGCCATGGTCTGGACCTCAGTCTTCACATTCTGGGCTGAGCCCGAGGAGGAGAGGAGGGACTGGGCTCTGCTCCTGACCTCGTCCATCTCTACAGTGGGAGAGCTGCTGCTCATTGCTGTTGAAGGGGGAAGTCGTAAATTTGATGATCAAATCGTTGTTTAAATAATTTATCATAAAATAAAAACTAATATTTGCACATTCCAGTTCCTCTAATGTGAGAATTTGTTGCTTTTCTCTGTTTAATATTATAATAAATTTAATATTTGGGGGTTTTGAACAGTTGGTCAATCAAAACAATCAATCTGAGGTCTGTGGTCTTTTCCACAATTTTCTGACATTTTATGAATTCATAATTAACCTAGCCAATAAAGAACAGTTAAATAAATGGTTGTAGGGTGAGGAATTATCCATGGGCTTACATTTTTGAGGTTCTTGTGCTGTACTTGAGTATTTCACTTTATTGAACCTCCAAATTTTAGGGGGGAAATATTGTATTTTTTACTGAACTACATTTATTTGACATGTGTAGTAGTTACAGTATGGTAATATTAAAAAACATAAGGCATTATTATTGACTAACCTACAACAGATTAAATATAAATATAGTTAGTCAGCTCCACCTTAACCTCCTAAAGCAGTAAAATTCTAGTTTCAAATTTATGCAATCTGTAATATAGTGAATAATGGGTATAAATAAATTATCAATAATAATTCATCAATAAAATTAAGTATCTCAGGTATTTTTCTGCATATGGAGTGCTTAACTTTTGCTGATAACACTGTTCTTTAGCTTTAGTAGGATAGTAAATAACTTTTTGAGAAATTTAGTATTTTCTACATTTATACATTTCTGCTTTAAGCATCAGTGAGGACGTAAACAAACCAAATGCTTGACAGTTCTGCTAATAGTCAAGTAAAAAAAGAAGTAAATCAAATCCCATTTTAATATCTATTTCAACCATTTATTCTGAGTGTAGGTTGTCAGTAAGTTAACAGCAAGGCAGGGTGACTGTGGGGTAACGTGTCCTCAGTAATTTCAGTTTTAATTTATCATATGACAACATGATGTTACTATGGGAAAGTCCAGGTTAATAATAGTTTCACTCTCCATGACATTACAGTACTCAACAGCTGTCCAGCTTTGAATATTGAATCACAAACACGACAAGACAACAGTTTAAAGCAGTGTTTTTAGAGGTAACATCTTATCTAATAGCAGTTAATGGTGTCATTTGTTAGTTCCGATGTGTTAAAGTTAGAATTTGTAAGATACAAAGCAAAGCAGACAACAATAATTCACGTTAGGTGAAACCGAAACTTTCAGAAATGTAGCTTCACAACTACTTACCTGTCGTCCTCAAGGCTGCCTTTAACGGTAGTTTCGTCCTCCCGCGTCTGGCGGGAAAGTCTATACGCTGCCGTTAATTAAAATAACGTGGTTTAAAGTTGATACCAGTGACTAAAGTCTCACCTTCGCTGAGTTTTCTCTCTGTTTAGCTTTGGAGCTAGCTCCAAACCTAGGCTTCAAACGCGGAACTGCAACACAACGTTTTGTGTTTCTGCTCTACTTCCTGCTCGTTTTTCAAAATAAAAGCGAGGATTTCTACAAATTAAAAGCAGTAATTTAAAACCTTAATTCTGCTTATCTGCAGCACTTTGACACTGGTTGAATACACTAAGTTGCCATTTCAGTAGGGACAACAAGCAAAAGTTTATACAACAAATCGTCCTTACTGTTTTAGAGAGGTGCTGATTCAACACAAAGAAGATTTTACACAAAGAAGATCAAGATGTTTATCAGGAGAGGTAACGTCATTGGATAACACAACTTGAATAGAAACAGCATTTTGCAAATGAACAGAATAAGGCTTCAGTTGTTGTTCTCTTTCATCTCATGTCTAAAGCTCACATCACCCACATCTGAGGTACTTCGCTTTGCAAAAGTCAGTGCTGGATTTCCCTTAAAACCACATGTAAAGTATAAGAGCTGCAGAGAGCAGAGTGTAACCGGTCAGGTTAAACTGTTTCCTTTTGGTGACACTGTGAACTAGTTAGAACATGTTTGTACAGACTGAACATAAGAGGAAGCTTTGGGGAGGTTTTGTCTGATTGTCCTTGTGATAGAGTTGGACTCTGGCTGATAGCACATCTATGGACACAATACCATTCAGGGCTGTGCACAATAAACATCTCAATGTATTAATTGAAATACAACTGGAAACTACGCAGAAATTGGTATTTTATCTGTGATAAATCACAGGAAATATGCAGCAACAAACAATAAGAGAGCAGTACAGATCTGAAGTCAAAGACACCCTGCGCTGGCCACACAGTGTAAGACAACACTTTCATCTGCTGAGGGGGGAAAGTTTCTCTGTGATCAGCTTAAATGTCAGTTTAAAATGTTTACATACTGTATATACATAATTAACTTTTGAAATGCACATTATTTACATATTCATAAAGTTTTCTGTGGATGAAAAAGATTATGTGTAATTTTAAGAATTTTTGACACAGCAATAGAATTTACTTTTTTCTTTTTACATTTTTATATACAGGTTACTGGTAATCCTTATGTTTTTATTCTTGATATTTTCACGTTTAGAAGGTGTATTTGTTTCTTACTATTTGATCTTTTTAATATTCCATACTAGATGATGTGCTAAAAGGGTAATGGGAAATAATAATGAGAATAATTATAATAATACGAATAACAATGTTTGTATTTAATTTTTTTATGTCCTTGACCATTGATTGTTGGTATCCATTGACATCTGTTTATTGCTGTGACCTGTATTTTTAATATCTGTCTGTAAACCAATTTTTCCAGCTAAATAATAATAAAGTTTTTGTTTGAGGAAAAACCGCTAAATCTAACCACAAATCTGTTTTGTTGTTGTTGAACATAACTCATAAATGTACCTTCACTGTAACTTCTATTTCCGTGGGTGAAGAACGCAGCATGAAGACCCCTCTAACTGTCAGCCAATGGCTGTGTAGAGTGGGCGGGGTTAAATAAACTCGCCGACCCTTGCCCTTGCTGTCTGTGGACAGAGAATCGTACTCATTTGACAAACTCGCTTGGTTCACAGTCTTCGTGCGTGTTTTCTTAATAAACTGACGCTGTTTAACATTTCCCGCCATAACATCGGAGCCGCCGAGCGCGAGGTCAAGAGCTGTCACCTCCGCTCGTGCCCCCACCTGAGCTGTCAGCAGAGCAGGGGCAGGTGGAGGAGGCTGCGGCTGTTTGAGACGCTGTCGAGGTGACGGGTTTATTAACACACGATCAGAAGACAACAAATGAGACAATGTGCCTCCATTTTTCCGTAAAATAAATTAAAAACAGCAGGATATAAATAGATTTTCGACTTGATTTCAGTCGGCGCAACCTTTTTTTAGCTCAACGACACGAATGTGACAACTGACATGCTTAACTGACACTCGTGGCAAATGAAAGATCAAGTAGGGACGTTAAAAATGCCTCTGTCAAACAAACTGTTTAGTGTTTTTATTTTTATTCCGTTGACAGATGAGAGAACAAAGGGAACCTATCCACATGTCCCCGTTACAGGGCCCCCACCGCAGCCCTAGGTCTCATTGGCTAGCGCCTTCCTACAACACGACGAATCGCGTTTCGCGACACTGAGAAAACCTAACGTCGGTTCCTGTGATTGGCCCAAACGTTTGGCGCCTCTTGAATCTGCTGCAGCCGTAGTGGGCGGTGAGTGTGAGACGGTGAGCAGTTTGAACCGTAGCAGCGCCGAGGCGGAAACATTGAAATTGTTTCAAAATTGACAGGCAGGGTGAAATTAAACTGTGTGATTCCCATCCACAAACGCTCCGTCTTAACTGCTAAAGCCAGACCTAAAGTGGGGGGGACGGCATATTCTTCTGGTTGCCGACTCTGGGTACGTAAAGCCGGTGTCGCGCAAAGTGAATCGCTCCCTCCTCCTGAGCTAACTGCTAACTAGCCGACGAGCTAACGTTACAGCTAGCCGGAACACGGAGCCAGCTAATCCCGAACACAAAGGACGACTTTGCCCGTGTTTGTCATATCGATCCCGAATAACTCCATTGAATGAGGACTGACCCTCCTGTGCAGGTAAGGGCAGCTGTCAATGTCGCTATCTTTATTTCCAGCGCTTTTGTTGCGATTCAAATGGCCCGGGTTTGTTCTTGATGCTTTGTGGATGCCTCAATCTTTGTTAACTAACCAACTGTTAGCTAGCTCGCCGGGATTTCGTGCCAAATTTTGTATGCCTGTCAGAATTGATTCCCCAACTTTTTATAGCGCAGTTACAGGGAGGAAAACGTTTATGACAAAGTGTAAACTAAGACTTGTGGATGAGCCACATTCCCCTATATTTTGGACCATGGTGAAATGGTTTGTTTGCGAGGGGAAACCCTTTTTTTTTTTTTTTTTAAGGTGGTGGAGGGGGGGAGGGCTACACAAAGTTGGCACGACATCGGCAAGCTATCGGTAGCTTTAGGCTTGCTTGTTATTTTGTAGCTAGCTCACCCAGTGATCGCCAACCCAAATTAAGCTATTTCTGGACGTTGCTGTACATGTTGTTGCTTGCAGTGTATAGTTGTAGTGTATAGTAGTATACACAAGACAGTGTTGGGAAGTAACTGAACATTTACTCAAGTAATGTACTGTACAGTCCAAAACTCTCAGTTTACAAAGATATTCAACAGAGAAAAGCACCAAATCCTCACAATTGAGAAACTTGAACCAGCAAATGTTTTGCAGTTTTGATTGAAAAATGACCAAAAACAAGTATTTGATAATCAAAATAGTTGACAAGTAATCGATTACTTGTGGCAGCGCTAAATGTATATATTGTCATAACCCAGCTCAAGGCTGGACAAAGGAGGGAAGACCACACCTGAGTAATTACTAAAAATAAGTTTATTTCACAGACCTAAAAAGGGAAATCAGTCTAAAGGCAAAACAAAAAGCAAAACGAAACAGGGTGGAAACCAGTGAACAGACTGGCTGACTGCCACCAGTGTATATAGTGCAGCCAGTCCAGGTGAGCTGAAGCCTCCTGATAGCTGAACTCCACCCATCAGGCTCCTGCAGGGAGAGGCCTGATCAGAGAGGGTCGTCACATTCCCCCCTCATAAGAGTGGTTCCGCCACGCACCCCGAAACTGGGAAAACAATGTTGGCAAGTTACATTTAAAAGCTTCATTCCACACCGAAAGTTATTTTGTTTCTCTTCCCTGTTGAACAAAGAAGTTGAAATCCATGTCAAATACCAAAAGTACACATCCCACCAATCCCTGCCAGAAACCTCATCCATACTGCAGGTTCCTCCAGCCTGTCCACCCTCAAGCATCTGCAACCTTGGTACCATAGGAAGCATCTTTAAGACTAGAAAGGGAGACAGGCCAGATTATGGTAGATATGAGCAGAGGTAAAAGGCAGAACAGAACCATGTAGGACAGTGCACTAGACAATTGTGTGTGTCTGTCAAGGTCAACTCCCTGACTCCACAACACCAAAGACAATGCATCCGGACAGTGTCTGTGTCAAGGCCCAATCCCTGACCACATGACAACAAACTGGGAAGGTAACCAACCCCCATCATTAAACAAACCTAATACAAAAGTACTTATTCACTGAAAACCAGTGGGTCCAGAAAGTCCCAACTATACAGTTACCCCCAGGAAGCCATGGATGTGATCCTGAGCATATAGCTCTGCCCACTGTCACCGCACCAAAACCTAATTCGGAAAAACTCATGTAACCAAATGGACACCTTAAACCAACACAATGCACAACGGAGTAACATGTTTCAACCAAAACAGAGACAAGAACGACTAAAATAATGCTCTCCCCTCAAAAGAAAAAAAACAAAACAAAAAACACTGCTTCCCAGATTAATTTGAACAAGGAAGCAGATGAAACCACACCAAAGCACCAAATGCCTACATACTAATTGGTGAACCCCCATTGCCACAGGGGGTAGCACAATACAAACCAAACTAGGTCAAATGACCACAGAGAATAAGCTTCATCATACCAAACTACTTTATCCCAGACGAGCCTCCAATTTGTCACAACATGGCTCGAGGCTGGACAAAGGAGGGAAGATCACACATGAGTTATAAGTAAAAATATATTAAAAAAAACCAAACAGGGTGGAAACTGAGAGAGACAGACTGGCTGACTGCCACCAGCTTTTATAGTGCAGCCAGTCCAGGTGAGCTGAATCCTCCTGATGACCGAACTCCACCCATCAGGCTCCTGCAGGGAGAGGCATGATCGGAGAGGGTCGTCAAAATATGAGATTCTGAAATGGGCTAATAGGCGATTCTTCCCAACGAGTACTTTTACTTTTGGTACTTTTAAATGCATGAGTATTTCTACACCGTCTTATTAATACTTTTATATAAGTAAAAGATCAGAGTACTTCTTCCACCAATGATGACATGTGAGAGACGGTCCATTATTGAATGAAAAGAGATGATTGACACTTAACACATCGATGTCAGCGTCACTGTAACATGTTGGTCACTTAAGGGAAGATTTTCTCACATATCACAGTGAAGTCATGTTAAACCAGCCACATGTTGAGAAGGAGATTCATATACATACAATCAGGTGGCAGTTTAAAGTACACCAAGGTTACTTTAGTAAATTCTACCGTCATGAAAGTTGTCATTCACTTTTATTGACTGTTTTAGATGGGTGATTGAACTTTATGGTAATTTTGGAGGCTGTTGTTTGTGGTGTTACTGAGGTGGTTATAATGAGAGTAGCCTATATATTAATAGCTATGTCCCTGTAAGATCTTATTGGCAGATGAGGATATACTGAAACTCTGTAATCTTAATTCAGTTGGTGCTTGGAGGATTAAATATGGCAAAATGTGTTGTATCAGTCCAAATCTCCACACGTCACAATGTGACAGATAGCTTACCAGCATGTCTCCATGACAGCTGTCTGACATGTCTAATCGAAAGTGTGAGATTTGAGTCAGACTGGCCAAGCTGGGAGGCAGCGACTCACGCTGACTACCGGGGTGACAGATGGATCTTGTAGCTACACATGGACAAAACAACTGTTGCAGTTTACACAAAGAGTCATGAAAGAACATAAGAGTGAACACTTCCTGCTCAACTTCCCCAAGTGAACAGCAGACTTGGCAAAAGGGTCAGGAAAATCCTGTCACCTGCATTTAAACCATCTTCAATGTCAGCATTTGAACAAAAGTGGGAACTGAATACAAGTTGTTTTTATATGTTGTTCCTGTGTCTCTTTAAGCCAGCCTACTCTCAGACATCTGAATTACAGCCCTTCTTTCTCTGCATTTCAAAGAGAAAACAAAGTGGCAGTTAAGTCTGATTATTGGACTTGATCTTTTTATAAGGTGATCTGGGGACACCACACTGCTGTGTAGACATGTGTACTTAGAAATTTAAGTCCAAATTCAACCAGAATGATTTTACGAAATGACAAGAAAAAGATCTTGCACACTGTCCAAAAGATTCAAGAGATGTTAATTTACACAGTTTATGAGGTAATTTTTCCTCTTCAGAGTTGTGATCTGTGTGGTGGTATCAGGAGCCAGTTTGTGCCTCATCTAATTACTTACGCATGGTTTATTATGTCGCAGTCACAGATGCTGTATAAACCACCGTTCTGTTCTCCTGTACTCTTTTAAACCAAAGGAAGATGGCAGTTTGAGATTACATCCTAATTTCTTTGCTTTTTCTTATTTGATGCAAAACAGAAATATATTTCATATATTCTGATACAGCATTTTGTCTTTGGTGTTGTGCTGTACAAATCCACCGTCTAGATATTTAACTCCAGGCTGGTGCTCTTTGTGAAACATGTTAAAAATCTATTACTGTGCAGCAAACACTATCGATCGTACCAGCAAGATAAAAGTGTCTTTGAGGATTATAGACGTATCCTCCAAAAACACAATAACTTCTGTCTAATGACATGCCAGGCTTCTGAAGTTTGGCTTGTCCTTGGGGAGAAAACTGGCTTGTATCTACAAGTGGAAGATGATTATCAATGCAAAAGTCTCAAATATTTCAGCATTGACTATATGAAAGGCTAGAGCGAATCAAAAGCAGGACCTCAGGCGGTCATGGAATTGGTTTCTTTATGTGTCAGCCTCACAGTGTGGGCTAAAACGATAAGTCGTGGCAAAGAGTGAAAATACGTGGATGCATTCATTGTGTAGAAACCTTCGTCTTCTTCTGTTTAGCTGCAGGTTGATCATGGTGCTCACAGGGAAGCGGTCGGAGAAAGGTCCTGCTTGCTGGAAGAGGAGGGTGAAGTCTGAGTACATGAGGCTCCGGCAGCTCAAACGCTTCAGACGGGCCGACGAGGTCAAGGTTAGTCCACGCACAGACCTTCGCACACACACTGCAGATATTTGGGGAAGTCGACGCCCATCTACATCATTCAACGATAATAGAATGATAGAAACAACAATAGGAAGTTCTCACCAGCCAAAATACTGGTACAAATGATTGTTGTTGTTGGTGCTGAACGACCTCAGCAGCGTCCCGTCAGATTTTGGTGCTTTCTGGCAGTTGTCTGATCCTGATACGTCTCTTTGTCTTTTATTCTTTACAGTTGATTTAAACTTATTTTTAACTCTTACAGAGCATGTTCAACACCAATCGGCAGAAAATCATGGAGCGGACTGACATTCTGAACCAGGAGTGGAAGACCAGGCGAATCCAGCCTGTTCACATCATGACGTCTGTCAGCTCCTTAAGAGGCACCCGAGAGGTCAGCGGATTAAACTGACATGTAAAAAAAAGAAAAGAAAAGAAAAAGGTGTCTGTGAAGGTGTAGAGGAAGTGTTCTTACTCTTGTCTGTTGTTCTGTACAGTGTACGGTGGACAGCGGTTTCTCTGAGTTCCCCAGGCAGGTCATCCCCCTGAAGACACTCAACGCCGTGGCCTCGGTCCCGGTCATGTACTCGTGGTCACCGCTGCAGCAGAACTTCATGGTGCGTATCGACTTGTAATAGCTGCAAGTATTATTATAATAGTAATAAACTTTATTTCACATGAAAAGACATAAAATGAACATAAAAACAAGTTAAAAACATTGATGTAAAATGGAAAACTTTAAAAACTGTAAAATAAAATGATAAAATCAGACTTATAACAGCATTTAACAGAAGTTCAAAGTTGTGAGTGCCTCACTGTGTAGTGGAAAACATGGTGTAGAATGTAATTTATAGTATTTTTGTGTCTAGTTTGGTTGGGACGGTTTTCGCTCCAGCTGTTTCTGTGTGTTTAACGTTTGTTTTGTTGATTTTCGGCATCAGGTGGAGGACGAGACGGTGCTCCATAACATCCCCTACATGGGAGACGAGATCCTGGACCAGGATGGCACGTTCATAGAGGAGCTCATTAAGAACTACGACGGCAAAGTCCACGGAGACAGAGGTGAGGGACAGTGGACGCTGGGGTAAACAATACCTGTCGACAAGAACTTCTCATTGGATCGTAAATTTGTAGATGGTTTAATGAACTAAACGGTTTCGTAGTGGTGGGTCTATGAAGACATTTAATGCACGTCTTGTGTTGGCGCAGAGTGCGGCTTCATCAACGACGAGATCTTCGTGGAGTTGGTCAACGCTCTGTCACAGTACAGCGACAACGAGGACGACGACGAGGAGGAAGAGCAGGACTTCAAGGTCGACAAGATGGAGCTGTGTGACGGCAAGGAGCACCCGGAGGACCCCCACAAGGACGGGCTCATGAACAGCGAGAGTGAGTCCGTCTGCCGACATTTGTAGAAAGCAGTGAAGCTATAAACCTGGGTGACTGACGCCGACCCCGTGGTTGTTTTTGTGCCCTGTGTGTCGTCTCCAGGCCGAACCAGCAATGACAGCAGCAAGAAGTTTCCCTCCGACAAGATTTTCGAAGCCATCTCCTCCATGTTCCCCGACAAGGGCTCCACCGAGGAGCTCAAAGAGAAGTTAGTGGGTTTTTCTTTGTATCAGATTGTGTTTGTCTTGTGACGGCAACAGAGGGACAGATTCTTTTATATGAATAAAGTCAACAATAATAATAATAATATTAATAATACAACAGCCAATCAGGAGCAGCAGCCAAACAGAGTTTTTTTTTTAACTTTCTGCAGAACAAATACTATGAATTAGAGCCAGACTGGTACATTTAGTTATTGTAATTATGTTCTATAGGCTGTATTTTCTTTATATTCATCTTATTTTTCTTTCAATCTGAAGGAGAAATAACTTACACACATTAAATCTGAATTTACAGATATGTTGTGAGTCTTGTGGTGGAAATATCTCCTTATTTCAAAGGAAGATGTCCGCACACAGACGTCTGATCAGCAACATGATTTGCAGATGTTTTTGTCCTAAAAATTGTTGTTTACAAAACACTGATTCTTCTAAGTGTGACTCCATTGTTAGGAGAGAGCAGGTGTTTCCTCTTCACATGGAAGTGAGTCTTGTTTACTCCCTTTATATAAATGTGATGTGTCCCAATTCTCTAAGTATAGACCAGGAGGACGATGATGGGCTTGTTTGACAGGATGAATTATTCTCTTTCCACATCTGTAGAAGTGCATGTGTCTCCCAGTGAGGTTTGTCTCATCTTTGATTCTGTCTTTGTGTGTGTGTGTGTGTGTTTTAGGTACAAGGAGCTGACGGAGCAGCAGCTTCCCGGCGCGCTGCCACCCGAGTGTACACCGAACATCGACGGTCCCAACGCTCGCTCCGTGCAGCGCGAACAGAGCCTGCACTCCTTCCACACTCTGTTCTGCAGACGCTGCTTCAAATACGACTGCTTCCTCCACCGTAAGTACAAACATTTAAAGTTTAAAAAGTAAGGAAGCACTGATCTGATGTGCTGGACTGGTATCATGACCGTTCTTTGTCCCGGACTTTAATATCATATCGGGAGAGAAAACGCCGGATTGTCGGTGCAGCCACAATAAACGAAGGCCTCATATCGACACATCTCATGCGTCTAATGTCTCCTCCTTTTTTTAGCTTTCCACGCAACTCCAAACACCTACAAGCGCAAGAACTTGGAGAACCTGGTGGAGAGTAAACCCTGCGGCATCGACTGCCACATGTACCTGGTGCAGGTGAGTCACGAAGCATTCATTTAATATCACAGCAGTGGTAGTTAGAAAAATATGACTTCTGACTGACTGGCTTCTTAAATGTGAGATTTTGAGGCTTTTCCTCGTCACATGTGATAGAAACCTGAATATCTTTGGAGTTTGAACAGTTGGTCAGACTATATAAGACTTTTGAAGACGTTATAACAGACAATTTTCACTATTTTCTGTCACTTTATAGAAAAAACTATTCATTTATTACTCAAACAATAATCTGCAGATGAAATAATAGTGAAAATAATCATTAGTTGCAGCTGTAATCAATGTATCAGCGGCACTGACACTGTTGTTATTGTGTGATTACTCAGGATGGGATGGTGAGGGAATATCCTGCGGGTGTGGTCGCCGAGCGGGCCAAGACGCCTTCCAAACGCACGGTGGGCCGTCGCCGTGGACGACTGCCGAACAGCAACAGCCGGCCCAGCACCCCCACCGTTTCCTCGGAAACCAAAGACACAGACAGCGACCGCGAGGGCAGCAAAGAAGACGAGAGGGACAACGACAAAGACGACGAAGACAAGAAGGACGAGAACACCAGCAGCTCGGGTACAATCTCTCTCTCACTCATTATAGTAGGATCAGTTTTTCACTCGAACATGTAGGTTTCCTCAGTTAGAGGCTGAAGTGGGTCTTTAAAGGTGTTAATTTAGTTTTGAAAAGGTAAGTTAGACCAAAGAAAGTTGAAGAAGCAACTGCAGTGTTTGAAATGTAGTTTTCACACGAGAGGAAGCGACAGACGTTCTGTCTCCCTCTCGACAACAAACCCAGACTTTCTTTTTAAAAGTTGAATGAGAAGAAGAAATCTCAGACCCTCGTCTTGAATTCGATACGAGAGAACTTGTCTTTCATGAACGAGGTGTTTCTCAGTCCCTGCAAACCTCAACCTGAATCCTCATGTCAGGGACTTCCTTTAGTTCCTGGAGTTCCTGCAGTGGAAACACACTGAATGATTATGTGTGTGTGTGTGTGTGTGTGTGTGTGTGTGTGTGTGTGCGCGCACAGAGGGTAACTCACGGTGTCAGACTCCAGTGAAGATGAAGCTGACCGGTGAGGCTGAAGCGGTGGAGTGGAGTGGAGCCGAAGCCTCTCTGTTCAGGGTTCTCATCGGGACGTACTACGACAACTACTGCGCCATCGCTCGGCTCATCGGCACCAAGACCTGCAGACAGGTGAGGCGTCAGTTGTAGTTTACACTGTTGTCTTTGCTTACAGGTAGTTTTAGGTTGTAATGACGACAGACACACACACAGTCTTAACTTTGTCGCCACGGCGTCCTGCAGGTTTACGAGTTCAGGGTGAAGGAGTCGAGCATCATCGCTCGGGCTCCCGCTGAAGACGAGGACACGCCGCCTAGAAAGAAGAAGAGGAAACACAGACTGTGGGCCACTCACTGCAGGAAGATCCAGCTGAAGAAAGGTCAGAGGTCACTCAGTCTGTGAAAGCGGGGAACTCTGTGTTGACCCGGTAACTGAATTGAAAACAAACCCATTTGACCTCCGTGTGTCTTCCATCCTCTCACAGATGGTTCGTCCAATCACGTGTATAACTACCAGCCATGTGACCACCCACGGCAGCCATGTGACTCCTCCTGCCCCTGCATCACCGCTCAAAACTTCTGTGAAAAGTTCTGCCAGTGCAGCTCAGAGTGTAAGAACGCAAACACTCACCTTTTATCGCAGAGGGAAAAAAAAAACATTTTGTTCAGTTGTTGAAGATTTTCTTCTCGGTGTCTAATGTTTCTGCTTCATGGACGCAGGTCAGAACCGTTTCCCGGGTTGTCGGTGCAAAGCCCAGTGTAACACCAAGCAGTGTCCCTGCTACCTGGCAGTGAGGGAGTGTGACCCCGACCTGTGCCTGACCTGCGGCGCTGCAGAACACTGGGACAGCAAGAACGTGTCCTGCAAGAACTGCTCCATCCAGAGAGGAGCCAAGAAGGTGACGCACACTCTTTCATCTGACTTTTTACTGAACACAAACATCTGCACGTTCAGGAGCAAAATATCCAGAACAGACCTTTAGCTCAAACACTACATTTCCCCTCCCTCCGTCTCTCAGCACCTGCTGCTGGCTCCGTCAGACGTGGCAGGATGGGGGATCTTCATCAAAGAGCCGGTCCAGAAGAACGAGTTCATCTCTGAGTACTGTGGAGAGGTAGGACCTCACTGTTTCTGTGCTGTCGACTGTCCGGGGTTAAAGGTGGAGAGTTTGTTACAGACATCTGACGACCTGCTGCCAACGGATAGTTTTGGATTCATTATCTCAAATTAAACTGTACAGCTGCAAAATTTAGATTCTATTTGATTAAAAAAAACCAAATCCAACCTTTCAGCTGCTTTTCTTTACTTTTGAAAGAACAAAATTAAGATTGTTTAGATGGATTCTGTTTGGCTGGAAAACTCTTAAAGTGTATTAAAGTACAGAGTTTTGCAAACAAAGTGTAAATAGAATAATAGAAGGTATAATAGAAAGGAAATCTAATCAAGTCTGATGAAGCAATTTTAAATACGATAAATAACTTGTGACGTCTGTCTTCGCAGATTATCTCTCAGGATGAAGCAGACCGCAGAGGCAAGGTCTACGACAAATACATGTGCAGCTTCCTCTTCAACCTCAACAATGGTAACACACACACGCACTCACACACAGTTTCAAGGTGTCTACAGAATAGATAAATGTCTGTATTTGAAATCTGAATCTAAAGAGTCTGAAAGACTTCTACAGCTTCAAAGGTGATAATTTGCTGCTTTAAAAGAAGCAGGGAGCTGAGTGACTTACCGCCAGATAAAATCAGAGCAAGTGTGTGTCGGTTTCCCTCCAGGTGTTCAGCGTTTTTGTCTTTTCTCCTCAGACTTTGTTGTTGATGCCACGAGGAAAGGCAACAAGATCCGCTTTGCCAACCACTCTGTCAATCCTAACTGCTATGCAAAAGGTAAGAGGATGAGGATGATGATGGTGAAGTTCACGACACAAATGTCTCTGTGCTCACTCACCTGTCTGTGCTGTCTGCAGTGATGATGGTGAACGGGGATCACAGGATAGGGATCTTTGCCAAGAGAGCCATCCAGACTGGAGAGGAGCTCTTCTTCGACTACAGGTCAGTGACAAAGAGGGAGAAGATCGTGAACGTGAACGAGATACCTCGGGGAAACGTTCACGCCTTCATCAATCTGTCGAATATTCTCTTGATTGAACGTCCAAGTTGATTTAGTCAAATATCTTGTTTTGTTTACAGCTTCCATCTAAACAGTCTTAGAGTAGAAAAGCAGCTGAAATGTCGGATTCATTTAGAAATAAAGCTAACGAACACACCTCTGTCTGTGTCTCAGGTACAGCCAGGCTGACGCTCTGAAGTACGTCGGGATCGAGCGGGAGATGGAGATCGCCTGATTCTGACTTCTACCTCCTGTGGATCAGCGACACAAAGGCCTTACACACAATCACAAACAAACACACCTTCACTTCAGGAAATCCAGACGACTTGTCAAAATGCTAGAAAGCTTCAGGAAAACTGGGAATATTTGAAGCAGAATTTTGTTGCTGTTTTTTTTAAAACACTTTTCATATCTGTTTCTCATTTTTCTTCGTGTGATTTTTTTTTTTTTTTTTTTTTTCCTGTCAACAAATCTTCCACTTCTGTCGGGCCGGGAGTTTCGGCTCCATAAATCTTCCCTCAGCTGAAGGTGCCGATCACCTACGAACTGACTCGTCTGTCGTTTTTTAAGATTTCTGTACATTACGTGTTCCACAGTGTGTCTGTAAAACTGGCTTTTCAATTCAAGCTTCAGGGACCAAAATCCTCCACCAGCCGCTTTCACACAGCTGACTGCACTCTGTTTGTACCGCGCCCGTGTGCGGCCACCTGTGGGTCAGGTGTGTGTGTCTTTTTTTTTTTTTATATACAGTGTGAACTGAACCAGAGCGCCACATCACTGTCTGTCTGTCAAACAGGAGGGCGTCCACAAAGCAGTGTCACACCAGATCTGACGAGGAGCGTTAACACTTTAACACGTGATGTTTTCTGATTAGATTCAAGCTGAAACGATCAGTCACTCTGCAACAATTTAGAGTTATTTAAGTCGCTGGATTTTCTGTTTTTCTGATGTGACAGGAAACTGGAATCTTTAGGTTTTGGACGGTTGAATGTACAAAACGCTAAAGCAGCTATTATCAATAATCTTCTTTAGCATTTAGCAGCTAACGAGCCAGATGTTTCCTTCAGGAGCTGGTGGAGACCAAACAGAGATAACAGATGGAATATTGGACTTAGATTCATCAGGTCACACAAACACGACTCCACATGAAGGATATTGTTGCTGTGTAACTGCTGGATGTGGAAATTAACAACTGCTTGTTAGTAAGTTCACCACATCAGTGTTTCTTCTGCCCCCAAGTGGCTTCCTGAGTTATTACAGGAAGTCTAAAGGAGCATTTTTCACTCTTTTCCTACTAAGACAAGCGAGAATCGATCTGCAGGTTAATCGTTAATGTAAATAATCACTTGTTGCACAACTGTTTGATTTTGTGTAGAAGCTAAGTGAGAACAATATACATATATTTTAGAAACTTTATATAATCAAACAAAATCAAACTGTGGCTTTAGATGACGCCTGCAACTAATTTTTTTAATCAATTTAATAATTTTCTTAGTTGATCGTTTCATCCTTTGGCCCTAAGGGGCAGAAAATAGTTAATTAATTAATTAATTAATTAATAATCCCCATCATATTTTCCCAGAGTTCTGTTTGGTCCGATCAGCTGCCCGAAACCCAGAGATTCAGTTCAGTGATGTGAAACAGAGAAAAACAGGAAAACGTCACAGTGGAGAAACTGAAACCAGACGATATTTTGGCATTTCTGCCTGATAATTATATATATAATTAATTGTTAATTAAAACAGTTGTTTGTTCATTTTCTGTCAGTTGGTTGTTGCAGCTCTAGACTCGGATATACTCATGTTAAAAAAAATATATATATATATATCATATATATCATGGCATCAGTTCTGGTCTTCATCAGATCCGGTCTCTGGTCTCCGGACACAAATCTTCCACTTCTTGTCATTTCCAAAAGTAATTTCTCCAATTTAAAATCTAAACTTATTTTCAGGCAGGATGGGAACTGTTTTTTTTTTTTTTTTTAAGCTTTTACTGATTTATTTTAAAATGTGAAGAAGGAAGAAACAACGAAAAACAATGTGATAAAAGCCGAGAAGTGACGGTGGTGAACAGTGAGGGGGAAACAGGAAATGTTCTGTTTTGAGCTCCTCGTGACGCTTCACAGCAAACTGAGAATCCTGTAAATCCCACCTCTGAAAACAACAGTCTGTGTTTGCTTTATTTTCCTGGATCTGGACCTGACTCTGCTTTGTGACGCTGCTTCAGGTGCTAACGCTTCAGAAACCTCCACCACAACAGGAAGCTCAACAGACAGACAGGTGAACCTTTGCTTCTGGTCGTGGTTGAAGTGTCCTGAATATCTGAGCGGCGGTGCTTTCTACCAAACCCAGACTGATACCGATGAAGGTTTTCATTCATGTCTGACGCTCTGCTGTCTCTCCTCTCGTCTGTTGTAGTTCCTGTTTTCCTCAGCAGCTCTGTGCTCCGCTCGTCCTCCAGTCCAGGTTATTTCCTGCAGCTCTGCCTCAGATCAGGTTGTCGTTCAGTCATTCGAGTTTTCGTCTGATGCAGCTGAAACTTTCCAGTTCATCTACTTTATAAAATCACTGACTTGTTGTTTGGGCTATGAAGTGTTCAAAAACAAAAAGTGGAAAACGCCCATCACAGGTCTGACAGCCTGAGGAGACGTCTTCAAATCTCACGTTTGAGAAGCCAGAAACGGCAAATGTTGAATGATTTATCTCTGATTTCTTATAATTAATCACCAAAACTGTTAATTTTTCTGTTTATGTGGTCGAAAGCTCAGGAACAAAGTTTAAAATGAACTCCTCAAGCTTAAATTTGTTATTAATTTTAATTTATCACGATATAAAATAGTTCGTATCTTTGTCACCCTCTCCTAACGATATTAATTCAGATTTAATGAAACGTTAAATACAGTTTATAGGCAGACCAGGTGAAGTAGAGCTGCAGCTAACAGCTAATCTGTAGATTGTTGAGGTGATTGATAATCAATAACATGATCTTCAGATATTTAGTTTTGTCTAGTTTCAGTGATCTCTAACAGAGAAGCTGGAAACAACATTTCTTTATAAAAACTAATGATTAATTATCTTTTAATCGGTGAAATATTGATTAACTGACTAATTGTTTGAGCCCTGAGGTGAACACCTGCCCAGGTACCTGGACCGGACTCTGGAGTCGAGCACAGTGAAGGCGCGATGGGAAAACTTTTCTCTTAAAAGGTGTTTGTTGATGTTGAACCAGTTATTTCCCGCTCTCTGCTGTGCCTTGAGTCCTTAACCCGATCGCCCGCCACTTCCTGTCTGTAGATCAGCTGATTAACGGTGACCACTCTTAACTTTCTGCATGATGACGTTTTGACCCCACCCCCACCCCCACCCCCCCAACCAGAGGATCCTCTCTGACTCTGTAACTTCCTCGTCGTCGTGGTCGTCGTCCGTGCGGCGCTCCGTCGGACGACCTCAGATTACTGTACTGCCTCCTCCACGTGATGTCCAATCAGTTTGATGTTACCTTACTCGTGTTCGGAGCATTCCTCTTGTGAAATAAGCCTTTTAATAACGTACCAACAATCACACTTTGACTCTTGTATCTTCTCTGATGTGAACTCTGGTGCTTGCAAAGATGCCACAGACTCTCCGCCTGGTGTCTGACCGACTTGAAGCAATACCAGCCTCTCTCTTTTTTTGTTTTTTTGGGAATTTCTTCGCCCCTCATCTTCCTCCTGAGGAGACGTTCCTCTTCCTCTCCGCCTTCTTCGCTCTCCACCTGTAATTTATTACAAACAGAGGGACGTCTCGTGCTGTTGCGTTGTTGTCTGTGGTCGATGGACGAAAGACTTCGGGGGGGGGGGGGGGGGCTCCGGACCCTGACACCTGGTGCTTCACCTGCGGGTTCCTACACATCCTGAAATGTTTGGAGAATCAGCTCCAGGCGGGAAGACGCGTTTTAACTGTTAGTTCAGATTGTGTGACGTTTATGTGCATGAAAAAAAATGGGAACTATGATGTCCTGGTGACCAAAATGTGTGAATTTGTCAACAGAAATGTGTAGGAACCCCTTTTCTTTTTATTTTTTTTATTTTATTTTGAAGATCACAAACCTTCACTGCTGATTCATATGAGCCTTCCCATGTTTCTGACTTCCTCAAAGTGTTTGGGGATGTGACTGCATTTAAACATCCAGCGATTCTTGAAAAGAAGAAGCCAGAGCAGCTGTTTTCAGTCGGGAACTGACGTCCGGGTCTGAAATCAGCTGCTGTGGCGTTCCTCTAAAAGAATCAAAGAGTTGAGGTTTGGCTGCTGGATGATACAGAACCAGCAGCTTTGGTGAATCTCAAAGGTTCACGGTTGTGTGTCTGTGACTGGAGGGCTGGGTAACGGAAAACTCAGAAACAAAAGCCGACCTCTGGCGTCTCCAGATGTTTCTGAAAGTTTCTTTTTTGCTTATGAAGATCAGATAATGTGAGGAAAAGAAAAATTGAATTGATTCTTAAAATGGAGAAAAACAAATCCAGTGTTACCCGGCCCTCCCTCCCTCCCTCCCTGAATGCTAAACTGCAGGTTATTTATCGTTTCAGACGTCCGCCTGCGTTAACCCCTCACTCTTCTTGTCAAACCAGGACCACTTTTTCCTCCGATGACACAGGTGCTGATTTTGTAATGTTTACAGGGATTTTTGTTGTTCAAAGTGATGCAGATTAAAATATTATAAATGGAGTTTTTTGGTTTCAATTTGTTCTAACAGCGAGAGTCAGAGGTGAGAAGGAACCGGTCGTCAGAATGAAGTTAGTGTCACTGTAAAACAAACATACAATATAAGAATATCAATCTAAACCCAGTTAATTGAGAGAAGTTAGACTGTCTATTCACTATTTTATTAGAGTATAAGTATTATAGAATTATATTTTTCATACCTGTCCCTGTTATTCTAGATAATCCACAACATTTACTGCCAACAGTTTTCAGTGGAGACATTTCATCAGCAGAAAACGGGTCCAAACAAAAGTGCTGACAAAGTGATAATGCAAATTTTTATCAGATGTAATTTTAAAAGCTGTGAGAAGCACAAACTGTTCACCTACATTAACTGTGGTCAAAAGTGTCTGCATGAACAGACAGTAGCAAGGATGACACAAACAGACTTTAAAGGGATAGTTCGGGTTATTTTACAGACTAGCGGAGCGTTGTTATAGTGCACGGGGCCACTAGAAAACACTTATAAAAGCCCATTTAAACAATCCAATATCCGTTTAAATGTATACTTCATGTAGAATATATTTTCAGCAGTTTATCTTCCTGTAAAAACAGCACTTTTTTTGGAGTATAAT